TTCATTTAATCTCTGTCTTCCCCTTTAGTAAGTTGTAGGAGGGAAAAGACTACCTGTTTTGATTATGACAATCTCCTGAGCAGCCCCATAATAACTAATAATGAACAAATAGGTATGATCTAGATTAAAGTGAAAGAATTGGGGAAAGATACAGATGGGTAATTAGAAAATAACAGAAAGTCCAGTAGGGAAGCTTAACATATAGTCACCTTCTTGAAGACATAAAGTGCCTTACATTCTCCTACAGTGATTTTCAGCCATTAGGATGTAATACCCTAGTATGGGCTGTTTTGCAGGTCTGGTGTAGTGATTGATTTAGAGCAGGTGGAAACTTTGGAACTAGACTTCTTTGGTTCATATCTATATAGCTATGCATACAGTCCTGAACATATTTAAATATACTTGTCAGTTCAGCAAAAGGGCCCACAGTCCATCCATCCACCCATTCATCTATCCATCCATCCACCCACCCACCCAGTTTAGTTTTGTGGTTAGGAGCACAAGTTGTGGAGCCAGACATCCAGGATTCGATTTCAGTTATACCAGTAACTATGTGACCTTGGGCGAGGTACTTAAAACTCAGTTCTTTAGTCTGTAAAATAGGTGTACTAATACGGCTGTTGTAAGAATTAAATGTGAAGCAATTAGAATAATTGCTGGCATGTAGTCGTTGATAAATATTATTTTGTATTATTGTTATTATTTGCAAAAGATACATTTTGGTTTAATAGAAGCAGAGACCAGATCTCTACTACTTAGCTGTGTGACTGTGGCCAGACTCTACCTCTCTGATTAGGGGAAGGGACATTACTAACTCAGTGATTCTCAATTTTTATTGTGTATATCAACCATCTGAAGGTCCTTTTAAGATGCAGGTTCTAATTCAGCTGGTTTGGGTTGGAGGATAAGATTCTGCATTTCTAACAAGCTCTCAGGTGATACTGATATTGGTATTGGCTCACAGATCACACTTTGAGTAGCTAGGGTCTAGGAAACCTCTAAGGCTTCTATTTGCTTCAATATTTCTGCCATTTGTATCATCATTCTCTGGTCTCCAGGTTATATAGACATTGGAGTTTACTTTCTCTTTTCCTTTCTTCTTATTGCCTAAATCTAATATTTTTCTTAAAACTGATTTTCTTTGCTCCCTTAAAATGTCTCTTTAGTGTCCATTAAGCCTAAATTATAATAAATTTAGAAAATTGACATAATTGCTCAATTATGCCACCATTAAAAATTGTTATAAAGAACATTAATAACTTGGCAAAATTTGTATAATTTAATATTGTGCACATATACACATATATTATGTATGACTAAATCTACATGCATAAGGTGGTAGAAATATAGTTTTCTCTAGGTGTGTGTGTGTATATGTATTAATAAGTATGTGTGTGTGTGTATTCTTTTTCTATAGTTTCTTTAATGAGTATCTATAATTTGGAAAATGAAAACATTGTTTTCAAAGAATTACCATACTTGAGTTCTTCCAATTCAAAGGTATTTCTAGAATCCTTAGAGACTGTTGCCCTTCTTTCTTTTATAAGTACCTTTATAGACTTCTCTCTTCGTTTTTTATCTTCAAGCTACACTGACAGAAAAGGCCCCACTCTCCAAAACGATTTTTCTTTTTTTCTCCCCTGTGAATGGAATCTCATTTTCTGCTCCCAGGTTCTGCCTGATGGGAGAGATTAACCTCTTCCCCAAACCATAACATGGTGATGGAACACCAGTCCCCACACGGCCAGACCTTACTTCTAATGGCCACCAAAGGCCGAGGGCCAGAGTGCTGACACTGTCTGTCTTTTCCAGAGTCTTGCCCTGACTCCTTTGGGGTCTGCCTCAAGTGAAAGGATGAAGGGAGGATGTGGAAGGATGAAGTCAGATGCTGCACAGCTGCAGCCTATGCCAGAAGCAACTTGGGATGCAGCTCCACAGCTGTGAAGCAAGCCAATCAGCCAGCCACGTCCACAGCCGCTGAGTATCCAAGGGGAAAAAAGCCGTAGAACCAGATGTTACGTCTAGAAAAAAATCACTGCATGGAACTTGGCCTCTGAATGGTGCATCTGTCCAACTTGTCTTCTAGTTGGTCAGAGACAGAGAAAACTCTGCTAGGAAGGCCTGAAACAAAACAAAACAAAACAAAAAAACAAAGAAGAAACATGACTTGACTCTGAAAAGAAAGTCACAGAATACTAATGATCATGCCAAAGCATTTATTCTGGAGTTTCTCAGATTTCTTAGCTTGAATTTATTTTTTATTTTTTTATTTTATTTTATTTTTGAGTTGGAGTCTCACTCAGTCGCCTAGACTGGAGTGCAATGGCATGCTCCTGGCCACCGCAGCCTCGACCTGCTGGGCTCCGGCGATCCTTCCGCCTCAGCCTTCCAAAGTACCTGGAACTACAGGCACACGCTACCACACCTGGCTAATTTTTGATCTATTGTAGAGATGAGGTCTCGTCAAGTTGCCCAGGCGAGTCTCGAACCCGCGGGCTCAGGCAATTCACTCACCGCGGCCTCCCAAAGGGCTGGGATTACAGGATGAGGCACTGAGCCCAGCCTTGAATTTATATTTAAACGTCCTTTCTAGAGGGAAAAATGTCGGTTGATTAGCAACTGCTGATGCAGGTTCTACTTTTTTCTACTTTTTATACCCCATAGGGTTTGATGAGGAGGCTTGGTTATACCTTAGAGGAAAGAAGAAAAACTCTTCCCTTGCCCTCAATTCTAGGACTTTCCCTCTGTTAAACCACCATACCTTTCAGGTCAGCTGGGTATGGTTTGACAGACTATTTACCACCCAAGGATGCCTGTATCAGCCATGGTTCTCCAAAGAGACAGAACCAATAGGATATACAGAAGGGGATTTATTAGGGGGGAACTGGCTTACATTATCATAGAGTCGAAGGCTCACAAGAAGCCAGTTGCAAGCTAGAGAACCATAGAAGCTGGTAACATGGCTCAAAGCCTCAGAACCAGGGAAGTTGACAGTGCAGCCCTTCTGGGAGGCTACTGGTGCAAATCCAAAGCCCGAACACTGAAGATCCTGCAGTCTGATGTCCAATGGTAGGAGGAGAAAAGTTGCCCTGCTTTGAAGGGGGGGGGGGGGAGAAAGAGAGAGAGAGAGAGAGAGAGAGAGAGAGAGAGAGAGCGCAGAGGGAAAGAATCCCCTTTCTTCTGCCCATTTTGTTCTGGCCAGCCCCCCCCCCAACGGGATGGTGCTACCCACACTTAAGGTGGGCCTTTCTCTGCCAGTCCACTGACTAACATGCCCATTTTCCAGAAACACTTTCACAGATACTCTAAGAAATAATACTTCACCAACCATCAAGGCATCCTTTAATTCGATGAAATTGACACCTAAAATCACCATTGCAGTACCTGTCTGAGGAACAAGAAGGAGGCCAGAATCTAGCCTGTTTTCCACACATTAGTGTGTACTCTGCATAGGCCTGCGTCCAACTGGGAGATATTTTCCAAACCACACAAAGATGCTGCCTACTTGCCAAGCTCTGTGTCCACAAGTTAACCTCTGCCTGGATGGGGTGCCTTTTCCTAGTTAGCATAAAGCATTCTATGGGCCCTCCCTGGTCCTATTTCAGATCTCCAACCTAGAGTCATCGCTCTCTCAGCTGCTGGGCCAGTAGCCTCCTAAGTCTCAAGATTTGATCCATGCTGACTGCAAGCCAGAGAGTTTGTAGGATTCTGTTCAGGGGTCAGAGCACCAAGTCTGGCCCCTGAACTTACATCTCTATTCTCAGTAGGGAGGTTTTGCCTTGAGACCCAGGCCTTGCACTTATACTCAAGAGATAGATTCTTATTTCCTGAGTCAAATGGGTAGCTCAGCTATCTGCCTGATATCTTGGTCCCTTTAGAGCTGGGGCCTGTGTTGGTCTGGCCGTGGGCATGCTAGAGATTTAATCGGTGTATCCTCTCCCCAGCCTGGCTGCTGTGCCTTATTTCTCCAGTGGTTCTTTGAATGTGACCTGCTCCAGGGGGAATCTCCTTATTTTTCTACCTACCTGCCAATTTTTGCTATGACCCTGAAGTTGACAGCTTGCCCGGACAGCTTGCTTGCTTTCTCTGTTGCCTTGAATCCTATAGACCAGAGGTCCTCAACCCCTTGGCCATGGACAGGTACCAGTTGGTGGCTTGTTAGGAACTGGACCGCACAGCAGGAGTGGCAGGTGAGTGAGCAAAGCTTCATCTCTGTATTTACAGCTTCTCTTCATCACTTGCATTACCACCTGAGCTCTGCCTCCTGTAAGATAAGCAGCAGCATTAGATTCTCATAGAAGCATGAGCCCTATTATGAAGTGTGTGTGCGAGGGATCTAGGCTGCACATTCCTTATGAGAATCTAGTGTCTATGTACCACATTTACATTAGATTCTCATCAGGAGATATGGACTTTGCAGCAACTTGGATGGATTTAGAGTCTATCATACTCAGTGATCTATCACAGAAACAAAGAAGAGAGCACCATCTGCTCTCACTTATAAGTGGATCTTGAACAATTATCATAATACTATGAGAAAGGCATTGGCAGTAGTGGGAAACTGCCAGGGGTGGGGGTGGGATTGGCAGCTGAGGGAAACTGCCAGGGGCGGGAGGGGCATACCTCATCAACAAGGATACCTGCATAATGAACATTTGCATACCTAACCCTGAATTGTACCACACATCTTTTTTTTAAATATTAAGATTTTATTTACAAAGCTTTTTTGTTGTACAGAAAGTAAAAATGCTGTTATAATCTCAGTGTAACTGGTAGCCACAGATGGTTGACTCACCAATCACAGCTATCCATGCTACAGCAAGAGTCTTACACAAAAACCTAACAATGCTTACAACTTTGTTGGCGTGAAGACCCCAAGCTTGGTAATGAATTACCAAGAGGGATTAAATGGAGGAAGGCAGAATGTCACAGGAACTGTTCTTTGGCTCTTTGGGTGGGTGGGTGTCCTGGGGTGTGTATCACAGCTATCTTTTTTTTTAAAACAGCTACCAATTCCATGAGCAGTCCAACCAATACTTAACAGATCTGTTTCTGCAGGTCATTTGGGATCTTAATCATCTTCTCCTTCATCATCTGTTTCTCTCTTCCTCTTTTCACCTTTCCTGCTTTCTTCCTCCTCTTCATCCTCATCCTCGTCCTTATCCTCTTCATCTTCTTCAACTTCTCTATCATGTCCAAAATCTTCTTCCTTCCCACTAACTTCATCTTCGTCTTCTTCCCCTTCTACATTTTCATCTTCATCCTCTTCATCATTGAACTCTTCCTCTTCACCATCTTCATCCTCTTCATCCTCTTCATTTTCTCCTTCTTCATCCTCCTCTTCATCCACACCATCCACCTCAGCATCAGAGTCAGGGGTTTCCTGGTCCTTTCGGTTGTAGCCATCCAGATAGGTCAGCTGGGGCAGAAACTTGAAGGCACTCTCTTGGTAGTCATTCAGGTCAGTGACCTCACAGTTAAAGTGGGCCAAGCTTTTTAGACATTCCAACTTTTTCAAAGCTTCCAAGGTGCTGATGTCTTTCAGTTTATTTCCACTTAAGTTTAGATGTCTGAGATTTGGAAGTTTTTCTGCTAACATATCCAGATCTCCATTCTATCGTCACTGAGCTCAAGTTTTTTCAATTTAGGCAGTTTGGGGAGATTTGAAACTGAGATCAAGCCTACATTTATTAAACTGGGAAACTCTAAGTTCACAAATTCAGCTGTTAAGCCCTCAATTTTTCCATCATTTGATTTGCAACTGTCCAAGACAGTTCTTGAACAGCTCCTGGGGTCCGGTTCCTCAGCTCCATGTGGATCCTCCTCTCCATGTTCCCCTCTTCCCCCCTCTTCCAACTTCCCTACATACTTAAAATAAAAATAAAAATAAAAAAGAGAATCTAATGTCACCACTTATCTACACAATAAATGTAATGCCCTTGAATCATCCCGAAACCAGCCCCCATCCCTTGACCATGGGAAAATTGTCTTCCACAAAACCAGTCCCTGATGCCAAAAAGTTGGGGACTGCTGCTCTAGGCACTGCATTCTGCCTATTGGGTTGAACTTTTTCTTGAGGCCTCTTCTTTGGGTGGCTCTGGGTCTATGTCTGTTCTTTCCTAGACTGTCTCATCCTGATGCAGGGAAGAAGGCATAAACCTGGCATACACTTGCTCTAGAAAGGACCAACTTATAAGAAAATAATCTGTCATAGTGGACATTCTTTCCTGAAAATGTCTTCCTCTCAGATGTGCAGTGTCTGAAATTCTACCAGTAGCTTTTCCTCTCTCTAGGAGTCCTCTGATGGTACAAGAGACGGTGACCAGTCAGTCACAAACACATATGACAATTAATTAGTAGTATCGCTTTCTACCTAACTATAATATTCCAGGGCAGTATGTGGGTGTCAGAGGTCTAGGAAGAGAAGAACAGTAAATACTTGTTGGAAAACAAGTGGAGAGAGGCACTGAGGGAAAACTCTCATAACTTGAGGCTTGGGCATGGCTTGGCATATCATGGCTCTGAGAGAATATTGGACAAAATCATTGTCCTTAAGGGTTTATGGAGAAGAAGCTGAAATAGAATTTGGTTATTACCTTGAAGTAGGCAGAAAAACTAAAGATGGAGTCATAACTGCACCATTCAATAGGTTAAAATGTAAAGCAAGGACCTCCTAAAAAAGAGCCCAGTGCTAGAAATGAGTTAGGAGAAAAGTTCAGAGGAAGAATGTATGATCACAGTTAAGTCAAATAGCCATGAATTCTCATGTCCCTAATGTTAAGCTTTGAACATAATGTACATATTTGGACCCTCATATACTCGTTTATCTTTCTAGGACAAGCTATAGCACCCTACTTCCTCCATGTTATTAAATATGAGCAGTACAGGCTGAGGGGAAGAACTGAATATGTGACTGACAGGTCACTAAGTGGAGCTGAAGAGCTTCTGGTGATTTTCTTGAAGCATTAGGATTGCATCATTAAAATGAACCCACCCTGGGAGGTGGTGATTGAGAGTGGCTGGAACGTGGCTTCGGTGTCAGCCAGAACTAGATTCTCTCTAGTCCTGGCCCAACCACTTACTAGTTGTATGTGCTTGGGCACTTAACCTAAGTCTCACTTTCCTCATATGTGAATTGGGTGTGATAATAACTCCTAGGCCACAGGGAATTTTGAGGATTGCGTGGAGTCATATGTTATTATATAATATGGTGTTACAAGGCTCCCAATAGAATGTCTAGTACAGGGAAAGTGAATGGTGGGAATGGTTTCTCTCTTTTTATTAGAGGAATTCCCTATTTTCCTACAAAACAACCTGACATTTCTGTCAGCAGAACTTCTCAAAAAAAAAAAAAAAAGAAATCAGAGCATTACCATTTATAAATCTTTTGGTATGTAGGAAAGTGAAATACCAAAATATATATATGTATATATATATATATATATATATATGTATATATATATCTTCATAATTGCATTTAACAAATCAATACTGTTAACTTGTACACTCACACAAAGCAACCTGAAACTTGATTGTGTTGCTCATAATATCATGGTTCCCTACAGGATGGTTTGGAAGGGACCCAAGTTGAAAGTTGTGTGGGGAGGAATGTCTTTCAGTCCTGTTTGTGTCTTTCTGTGACTAAATGTTGAACGTCATTTGGAGTTAAGGTGAAAAGTCTAATTTTGAGGCATGAGTAAATGGCTTTCCTAGTTCCTCATGTGATAAGCCTTGACTGTCAGAGAAATCCTACATCTATTCTGATTATTTCTGGAGTTTGAAATAGTAGAATTTCTGCCGTTCCTCATTAGTACAACAAACACAGTCAGTGTAGACTGTACTCCTTTGCATATTAGGAAGATCATCATATGGGACAAGCACTGGCTCAGGCATGAGGAATGCTGCCTTCTGGTCGAAGTCTATCACCGATCATTAAGGGACCTGGAGGAAGATGTGTCTCTGTTCTAGGCTTCAGCGCCCTGGTGTTTGATGACAGGGCCAGGGTTAGATCCTTCCCCAGGTCTCCACACTACATTTTTATGATTCTGTGTGTGCTTGGAGTTTGCACCTTGCATGGGGCATGGTTTCTTAAAGGCTGAAATAATCTAGACAAGTAAAAGATTTGATCTCACAATGTTTGTACCAACTGAGTCAATCATAGCAATTTCTCTGTAAAATAAAGTTATTGGTTGGTTTTAAGTCTATTGGTATCTTTACATGATCTAAAACATCAGGGAAAGTAGTAACTGGAGATGAAAGGAATAATAAATACAATGTGGAAAGACCTATAGTTAGAAAGGGACAAGTCTGGGGTAAAAGCTAACGAGGTCTTCAGATGCATCCTTTAGACCCCATCAAATACTTTCTGTTTAGTCTTTACTTCATTCGTTTTCCCACTAGGTTTTCTTTTTAGTTTTATTATTCACCTTTCTAACTATCCTTGTCCATCCATTATTCCAGTTTTATCTTTTCATTTTTAAATTTTTATAATATAAGGTCTAAAAAAACAGATGCTGGAATATTTTGGGGCAAGAAGGTGATCAAATCTGTGAAACAAATATAACTGCTTTTATGTTACCTCTTTGCCTACCTTGACCAATTGGAAAATAGGAAAATACTTTTCAGTAAATAACTCACATATTTGGACATGCCCAACTGTTTAAATAAGGGATCAGAAAAACAATAAGTGAATAACTTTATTTGAAGAGGAAGTTTAAAATTTTATTTGAGGTCTTTTGTGAAAGTGATTAATGCATTAACAATAGAAGAGATGTGTAATCAGAGAAAAATATTAGAAAGAAAAGAACACAAGATTTTGCTCTGATTTTAAAAAAGTTAGGAGATAAAACACAGCAAAAGGCATTTTATAAGTAATTAATTGCTTTAATTTGTTTGAACAAAAATATCTTTTGGCTAGAAGATTTCTTTATAAAATATTATTTATATTAGTTATTCAAAGATAATGTGATATTTTTATACTATAATACAAGATCAAGGCAGGTCTTAGGATAGAGTTATGAATGTGCTGGTTTTGGCTCTCAAACTTCACCCTTAAGGGTTTTATTCCTTTAGATCCTGAAGACCTTTTGTTCTTCCCAAGTCCCCAGTAAATATACAAATATCTCTTGATGATATGGTTCGTTCTTTATGTTTTTTTAGGGCAAAGGTGGTATCTGAGGGTGGCAAAGTAACTGGAGGAAGGGACAGAGGGGAATAATCTGCTCTATTTCACAGATGTAGCTAGTGCTGTGTTCCCTGGGGCTTTGCTGGAGGCTAAAGACTGGGAGACAGAACAATAAGGCTCATTAATTCAGATTCTGAGGGTTATCTTGATCAGAAGGGTTGAGGACTCATTCTTGGGAAATGAATGCATAGATTCCAGGGAAAAGAGTAATGACCCCTAAGTGCATGGAATACTTGCCATCACCATTCATAGAGATTTCTTTTGTTCACAGCTGAATCCAACCTACTGTCTTGCAGAGTTACTAAGTAAATCTGGGGAACTAAAAATTCAGTTCATGTCTTTGCCTAGGGGGTCACTGGGTATCTTTCTCCACCTAGTGGTCAATGCCTCCCAACCATGAAGCTCAAAGACAATGAGTTATTATGGCAATGAAACAAGTGGGGTTTCTTATTTTGCAATATGAGGCTATCTAATCCTAGAATGAAGAAGATATTAAGGCATATGTTTGGAAAAGCCCGTGGGTGTGTTAATAATTAGGTTGGTTTGCATATCTTCCTTTGTTCAGCTGACATGCTTTGCATTTTAGTGGCGAAGGAACAGGGATGCTTGCTGATCAAGTAATGCCCACAATTAGTGTTAACACTTGCAGCCGATTCCATAATATGAAATGAGCACAGCAGAAAACCCGCTTTTCAAGAACAGAAAGAGATGAGAAGCAAAGATTTAGTGACTCTGTAATTATTCATTTTACGTGATTTTCTGGAAAATTGGTCTCAGTTATGCTCTGGGAATACTAGGTGCTTGAGAAAACTTATCATATTGAATTGCATTTGATAGCTTCTCTTGCGCTTCCATTGTTATGCGTCGCTCTTCCTGCTTTTACTTTTCCAAACTAAAATTGTATTCCATTCAAAGTAAATACGTCTTACAACATGCATGTCACAAGCATTTTTTTTAGATGTTTTCATGTGAGTCTCTGCAGCATTTGATACTGTTGAATGCTCTTTCCTTCTGGAAACTTTCCTCTTTCTGTCTGCTCTGGTTTTCATGACACCACCCTCTCTTGCTTGCCTCCTACTTCTCTGGCAGGATTATTCTTTTAGGTTTGCTTTCCCCCATCACTTCCCTTTCATGGTTCCTTAAATACTACTGTTGCCTGAGGTTCTATTCTTAGCCCTCTTCTTTTCTTCATTGAATTTAGTTTTCAACAGAGATCGTTGGAGACAAATTGAGGATCACACTTCGATATTTGGACTTTTAAAAAAATAGCTTTATTTTATTATAGAGATGTGGGGTACAAGTCAGGACTAGGTACATAAGTCATCTATGTGCAGGCGAAGTTTGGACTTCCAACTGGTCCTCACTTCTCCTGGTTTTGGACCAGGTACTCTTTGTGTTGTTACACATCTCCCACCTCCTGCATTGTCCCATGACTGCTGAATATTTGAACTTCAGTGTCGAGGCTTCCAGTTCCCAAGTCTCTACCTCTAATGCTCACTCACTCTCTTCTGAGTTCCAGACAAAAATTCTTCTCTGTTTGTTAGATACCCCGCAGGAAACTGGAACCCTGTGCAATCCTGATTGAGCTCTTAATTTTGTGCCCTTCTGTGCTGTGCACCCTTGCCTGCATCTCCTGTCTGGGTATGT